GAGTGTGAGGGGAGGATCAGGCTGCAGGATCAGTCAGACAGCTGCTGTTCGAAGAACATGGTTAGATCCTTCATTTATAAATAAAAACACACAACTCAGCGACAACATGCGGCTCAGATGATGTTGAATCCTTCTATAAATGAGGATTTATTTTCAAAGAACAACTTGGAGGACTTTGACTCGGTTCGCAGTGTTCTCCTCTACAGGTTAGTTTGTTTATGTTGACTTTTAATTCACTTCAACAAATACGCACTTGCGATTTTTTGTTTGTTTTAACAAATAATTCTGGCTGCTGTATATTGTGTGTAGTTTTAGCGTGTTTATTAGTCGCGTTGAAGCACGCGCCGTGACATTAACCCTTTTATTTCACTTGGATAGAAACGGCTGTTATTTTATTATTATTATTATTTCTTTACCATAACACGAAAGCTTATCTTTGGAGGTGAGTATCTACACTCCGACTCATTTCAGCCACATTTGGGAGAGAGAAATAGAGCGCGTTTATTCGTTCGTTTAAATGAACGTCGTTTTCAGATCAGCAGAACGCTTCTGCGTTGTTAGGGGCGACCGTGCCATCTAGCCAATCAGATGTCACGAAGTGGAGTCACGTGATCAGTCCTGAGCGCTCTGCTCGTGTTTTCAACATGGCGAAACTGGATCGCTTGTCGCTTCAGCTGAGAGAAGACAAACAAATGACCGCTTTCGCGTTGTTTTTTAAGTTGGCTCGTGTGTGAAAGAAAGCGCGTGACAGCCCGATGGCCTTCGCACGCGCCCGTGTTTGTGAAGAACCCTCTGTTTTGAAGGAGAAGATCGAAGATGATGCTGAGGATGAATCTGCGTCGAGTTTCAGCAGCTCCGAGTCCACAGAGTGAGACACTCAGCTCCGTGATAAGTTTAAAAGTTTTAAGTTAGCCTCGTTGCTAACACCCCTCAGAAGGAGGCAGTGCAGAGGAAGTTTCTTTGCACTTTTATTTTGAAATGGAGGAAACTCCTTGAATGAAAAGCATCATCATGCGTYAAACCATAACTAACACATCTCTTGTCTTATGTCTTTCTCTGATCTGTTTCTTCACAGTGACTTGGAACCAGAATGGCTGGATGATATCCAGACGAACGGCGAGCTTTTCTACCTGGAGCTGAGTGAAGGTGAAGAGGAGGCAGCCCTGGCCCGGGCCTCCTCAAATCAGTGCGTTTCCACGAATCATCATGTCCGCTTCAGCGAAAAGGAAGCAGAGGTCATCACAGAGGAGAAGGGCACGRAGCGACGCAGCTCGCGGATGAAAGGCGATCCCGCTCTCAAAAGGCTCGCCAGGATCCTGAGGAGGAAACGCCATCCTTCTCAGCACACCAAGAGCAATGATGGGAGTGAGGTGGCACCATCATCGTCGTCGCCACCGGCTTCCATCCTGAAGAGCCAGCCGGGTCACAGGTCAGGTGTCCAGCATCAGCTGAAGGATGTGTGCGTCTACCTCAACCCCAAACGGTTAGCGGCTTCCTCAGCCCCTCTGAGAGACGGCGGGGGKCTGCTGGAAGCCCTGCTGGGAGTGGTGCACCGCACTGCTCAGGGCACGGGCCAGGAGGCGCCTGCAGGGGCCAGACCGGAGGAAAGCCTGACTGTGGATGGATTAATACCCAACAGTCCGGCCATAAAATGTGGTCAGATCTTAATAGGTAAGATTGTGTGTCAAATATTTCAGCTGTCAGCGTGTTTTGTGTCGGTTTTATTGTTTAAATACCACCATGCTCAACCATTTAGAGAACTTCTAATAAGGCTGATCTCTGCAGGGGTGTGCATACCTTCAGACTCAAAAATTGTTGAAGCACCTGTTTTAATTGGGATTATATTAACATGGCAATCCTTGATTTGCTACAACAATTGTGAGTGCATCTCTCATGCACAGCTCTCTTCAGGTCACCCGGCGTGTTTCCTACCAGATTTAAGTCTAGACTCGAGAAAGGCTAATCCAAAATTTAGATATTTCTTTGCTGGAGCTGTTTTCTTGCTTTGGATGGATGGTTGTTTGTCATCGCTGTTTTGAAATATAAAACTCCTCTCCATCTTCGTCTTTCTAACAGACGTCCGAGTGTTTTGAGCTAAAATAAACTGAGATTTGCAAATGTTCATCGCCCCATTCATCGTGACTAAAACCTCAGTTCCAGCTGAAGAAAAACAACCGCAGTACATGATGCCAGCACTGTGTCTCAGTGTTAGAGTGGTGATCCATGGTAGGGCTGCACGATATTAAGAAAACCTGCGATGTGCGATAACAGTGCTTAATATTGTGATGACTTGCAATAAATCAACAATTGCATAAGATTATAGTGTTCCTGTCTTTCTGCTCTAGGTTCTGAGCAACAACAGCAACAAAAACAACAAAAACTAATCATTTCCATTCCATTATGGTTTTTTAAAAATATGAAATACATGAAGGGCTCCATTTGATTTGATAATTCTATCTTCCACCAAAATGCATAAATGCAAACTTTTGAGCCGAACATTTATTGCAGTTTATGCAGTTTTTTTATGGTATTCATATCTGTTATTGCAACAATGATAAATCTTTGATACATTGTGCAGCCCTAATCCATGGTCTTGTTTCTGCACTAAATGCACCTTCTGGAATTGTGGCTAAAAAGTTTCATTTTGGGCTCATCAGATTTTCCCCCGTGTTTTGAAAACTTGATTTCTTTTTGGATAAACTTGGAAGTTTTTCTTTTCAAGCATGTATTTTCCTGTTAGTGAAATCTACGTACACTGTTTAAACCAGACGAACGTTTGTTTTCTTTGTTCAGGTGATGTGCTTGTGGCGGTGGATGACGTTGATGTGACCTCGGAGAACATTGAAAGGGTTCTTTCCTGCATCCCGGGACCAACACAGGTAAGTGCGTGAGAAGCCACCATGCTGACACTCGTGATGGACCGATTCTATTTGTTTTTACTTTAGCCATGTTTTCCACAAAACCTTTATTACCTTGAATCAGCATCTCTTTCACTCTGTTTGTTGTGTTTTTTATTAAAGTGCCTGTGACATGCCTATCCTTCAAATACAAAAAGTAGGGGTGTCCCGATACCAGCATCAAGTACTCGTACTCGTACTCGTAAAAGCCGGCCGATACTCTTAACCGATACCGCTTTTGTCCCCTCCTGTGCTGCGCTGCACAAAGGGTAAACAACAATCCATACCAGGCAGTGGCGCTAATGCGCTGACAAGTTATTTCCGACTGCACCCCCCGAATAACAGAAGAAGAACGATAAGAAGAAGAAGAAGAAGTAAC